AGACTGCAAATAAGGTAATTTTATCATCTAATACCCTTGCGTGTATAATTATTTAACAAATAAATTTTGGTTTATCTCTTCATTTATTTCCATCACGAATAACTTATATTAAATTCATTTTACTCTCTTCAAATACCGTTTCACTTGCCGGCCGCTAATAATTTTAATATAGGTTCAAATATCAATGTCACACAATATTTTCCCCATATAAAGTCGTAATGACTAAACTTTTCATTGGATAATTCATCATGAAATACCACGTTAGCAAGTTTCTTTTTCAGCAGATTAACGTCCTAAAAAAATAAAATAATATTTATTGTACGATAAATCTCTCATCATTGTTTACATTATTTTTCAGAGATGTTTAAGTTATTAGTTTTAACGTTTTATTTCACAATTTCCTAATTTCTTGTAAAACTATCAATAAATTACAATGCACAATTGTAAATATGATTTATAAGTGATCGTGAACTGTTATCGTAATTATTTGAGTAATTTCTACTTGTTGTTACTAAATCGTGTAAAACATTTGATGTGTCTTAATTTAATTCAATGTATTTTTTTGCGATCAATTATTGTAAGTGAAGTGTCATTTATAAAACAAAATCCGAATTTTTTATATTTGTTTTAATACTGGAATCTAATAATTTTCGCACGTCACATGTATTTTTGGTACCTCTGGTGTCGCCAGTAAATCGTCATTGCTACTAAAAAGTGCAACTGGTGCAGTCACTTTGTTCAAATCGTATTCTGGTGGTTCCAAAGAATTGTACAACCGAAAATTCTTTTCTTCATTATCGTAGTCATACTCTCTGAAGTGGTCTAAAACACTTTTTCATGTTGAGATCATTCATTATTTATTATTTGTAAATTATAATTTATAGTTTATAATCGCTTACCCTTGTGTGTAAATCCTTGACCGAAATGAACCGCTTGTTTCCAAGAAGCTCCTGCCGGTATGTGACCAAGAATCACCGACCGATTGCCCTAAATATTGTTTGGAAGTTTCTATGTGAATTTTTACTCGAATAATTATAAAATACGTTTAACCCCTTGCCCTATTATTTACAACCATAATCGATGCAAGTACTTTGCCATTAATAATTTATTGAACAAATAAATTCTAGGCATATTCTATATATGTCTAAGTATAATTATTGATAACAGAAGAATAATATTTACTTTAAATTCAAAAGTATTGAATAATATTTATCATTGTTAAATTCTCTTTTAAATCTTCACCACGGGTCTAACACGTTGTTGAAAGGCAAAAGGTTAATACTCAACCTTACCCCACTTAATTCCGACTGGTCAAAACCAGTGATCAAAAAGAGAAAATTGTTGCAAAAAAGTGGTTGGGTTTGATTTTTACAGAACAAATTCGTCACAAGTTTTCCCCAACCAGAACGGGCACGAATTTCTGGATAACCGAACTTTTCACCAATTCTCTGTGAAATCAAACCAAGAGTTATATGTACTAACTTACTATATCAGACAGATATGTATAAATTTCCAATTTTGGAGATTAATATAAAATAATGAAAATTTCAAGGTTTAAGAGATGCTAGAAATGCATAAGTATACGTGCAGTTATTCGCTGAAACAATTACAGGATGTTATTAAAAGACTATGTTAAAGAATGAATAAATAATAGAAGCAACGATCGTTTGTGCAGATAATTGTCATTCTGTAAGAAAAAAAAATTGGATCGTATCATTTTTAGTGTTTTATCCAATGGAATGTTAAATTTACGATTGCTTATATGATAATAATCTTGTTTAGTATCATTGCTTCACGTGTCGGTAGACAGTTGGAAAATTGTGAAAGACTATTGTCTCTAATAGTGCGTATTTCGGGAGACCATGGATCTCCGTGTAAAAGTACATTCTTTTAGCAGTTCGTAAAGACAAATATTAAACTGAAATTAATATTCTCCTTAAAAGTTTTATTAAATAAGAATAAATGGAAAATGTTATTAAAACGTATTGTTTAGACTTCATACATCTGTGTATAGAATAAATGCATGAAACCCGTGGTTAACAATTTTTCATTTATTCAAATTCATTCATATTGGAAGATTGAGAAATGCGTGTAAAACATTTTGAAACATTGTAGGTATTAAAAGAATACTTAAAAATCATTCCCTTTCCCCAGACAACTTGTAGAATACTTTCATTATTTCTTCTTCGGTACGTAACATGCCTTAATCATTAGGATGAAAAAAATGCAATCGATATCGTTGCATACCGTTTTACGCAATCGGAAAAAATTTCACGTACAACTTACCACGCCCATGTATGTTAATTTAGCCAGTTTTGTAATCGGACCGCGCATATTCCCGGTAAAAGCAACAGGAGCAAGGCCAATCATTAAAGCTATTTTCCCATTGTAATTGGGCCTTTTCGACATCATCACCCAAAATTGTGTCGTTCCCTGCGAGTGGCCAATGTAAGAGAGCCTTTCATACCTTGTTTGGTCGAGTATGTAATCGATCGTTGCGGGAAGATCACGGTCGCCAAGCTCATGGTAACTGAAAAAGCGGGTCGACTCCAAGATGAAAAACGTTAAACGATTTTCTATATGAGCAAGCGTACCTAAAATCCCAGAAACGCCGATCCGTCAATGAAATCGACGTGTGGTTTTTCGAGTAGATGTTGCCTCTGTTGTTCCCTAGCCACACATCGTAACCCGCGTCGGCCAATATGTACGCTAAAAATAACAAAATAAAAAAGTTGCTGATCATTTGATCATCTGTAAATAAAACTTAATTCGTATTCGTATATATAATAGTAGGACATCCTACTGTTAAGTCGTCCGTCATCATTGAATATCTTATCGTATCCGTTAGTAGGTACCCTTATCTGTTTTCTAAAGAATTCTGCCTTTTAAGGTAACAGAAGGATTTTTGTTTAGATTTTTATAGTATAGCGATATTTAAGAAACTAGCGAAATATCGAGGAATTTTAATGAAGTTCCGTGGGATTTTAAAATATATATTTACATACATGAAACAGCTTTCTCGACAGAAATTCACATGGGAGCGCTAAAATCGCTATTTAAAGTTTCCGCATTTTTTGGATGTTTCAAATGCTTAACACGTTTTACATTAGTCGCGTGAAAATTGTTACTCGACGCATGTAAGTCGATGATTTAGAAAGTTATTATACAGAAACTATTCTCTTCCTGTATACAACCATTTTGTTTAATTTAACTTTTCACAAGAAAAGACAAAGTATGAATATAGGAACTGCAATGTAAATCTATGTACGTAGTCTTGTTCTATTTTTAATTTAATAAGATTATCAATACTTGAAAAATGTAATTTTAGTAATGAGTTAAATTAATTTTCTTACAATCGAATAGACAGAAATGAAGTTCAAGCAAAAATTTACTTCCCATCTTAAAGACCTTACTAAATTGAAAAATTATTACTCGATTCTATTGTACGGATTCAGTATCGTTAGTAAACAACATGTCTTTAAAGAACGGAGAGCAGAACGAAATATTCGTTTATTTTACTTGTCTTGATCGCTCTATCCAATCAGAATAACGTTACTATCAACTTTACCATACACATATCTATTTAATTACCTAACGAATTACTTGGTCCTTTGAGGATCCAATCGGCGGAACTTCCGGTCAAACCATGCTGTAGCAAAATCGGTGGTTTCCCCAAGATCGCCTTATTATTTCGTCCATGCGGAATCCGATGAATTTCTAAAATATAGCCGTCCTCTGTGATCACGTTATGCGCTTCCACCGGGTAACCGTACTTTCGTATCAATGCGGGCTATTAAAACGAAAATATTTGTAAAACATAATTAAAGGAGAACATGATGTAGAAATACTTTAAGCGGAAGAAATAGTTATCGACCTTAAGAGAAGAGAAACGAAGTAACTCACTGCTGTAAGCTCGACGTCTGGATTACCATTCCCTTTGTGAAACGCAACGACGACATAGCTGGCCGGCACAAAAAATTGCAAAACGACGAGACCTCGTAACAACGACATCATGCTAAAAACAAATCGTCGATGAGAAAAGCGTGAGTATTTTATAGGAGACGACTTGCTTGAGCAGGTGCTCGTGATGTACGTTTCATTTATCCCGTGTTCTCGACCTTTACCGTGTTCATTGCATTGCTTAGCAAATGGAAAGTGCAGTAGAAACTGATAAATTGTGCTGGCCAAGTAGAAGGCACCTCGCAGACTTTACTGCAATCGCAATGCTCTTCTCCGAGAATTGTTACGATACTTTTTTTATTGTATCAATGTGGCAATTTTGAATTGTTTTCAGCGTTTGTTTAAATTTACCGTGATAGATTGCCCTAACTTCTTTTCATTTTCATTATTCTATAGGCACAACCGTCGTCGTTGATCGCAGAAATGTTCTTATCTATATTTAGTTTCATTATCTTTTTCGCTTAGTACATACTTTTATAATCTTTTTAAAGGCTTTTTTTACCTTGTACAAATAAGGTCTAACATCGTGTACGCAGGTTTGACCTGTAGATATTGTGAAAACTGCATACGCAATAGAGGGTGGTTGTTCGCGAAACAAGGTCGATTACATCATTTTACGCATTGTTCCATATTAACCATCGAGAATTACTAAAGGACAATCGTCAGGCTTGCTGTATCTTATTTAACGATATGGATTTTCTTTACAATTTGCCACATTCAATGTAATTGATTTATAATTTGTGAAAAATTAAAACAGAGCGATATAACTTGGAATCAATGTTTTTATTCATAATAATTTAATACTAAGTTGCATTCTATATTTTTGTATTATTCTTTTTTTATTTTCGAAATAAAACGAATATAAAAAGACATTTTTCTGATTGATAAAATAAATCATTGATTGGTAATATAAACCTAAAACTAACATCATGTTTCCCCCATCTACTAATTATAACTTGTAATTATATTAAATTTAAACTACTATTTATATTCAAAGTTACAATTATTTAGTTTTAGAAAAATAATATTACGCTTCCTAATGTACACAAATAAGAAATCACGTTAGTTGGTAATCAAATAAAATTCGAATTTAAAAAGTAATGAAATTTTATCGATATTAAATCACGTGATAAGAAGTGTCCTCTTTCGTGTGACATCTCAAACTTTAGTTTACGATAAACGATGGCGATGGTAGTGTCATTTACGTCAGCTCTCTTGTGGCTGAATTAAAGTCGTTTTGTAAATAGGAAATTGAAAATGTAATATTTATTGTCATATGACTAGAATAAGAAGGAATAATGGTATCGATCAGTATTCTGTGTATTCCAATTGTTATCTCATTCTTCTACTGGAATAACTTATTATGGTACTATATATTTGGAATGTTAACCATATCATGTTTCTTTATGGGATGTTTAATTGTTATGTTCATAAACATCGCACTTTCTCCGAAACACCAAACTGGGGCAGGCACATTGAAAACGGTCGCTGAAATGGATGCTTTTCACAATTTGTTAATGGTATGTTTACACAAAAGTATATTTTTGTAAGCTAATAAAAAATAAGTTTTAAGTGAATAGAATTTCTTTACCAACTTTCAATTTGATTAAATCAACGATAAAATAAGAAGTCTAATACATTGTATTGTATTTTATTTATCAAAAATATATAACTGTCTATATTTACTGTTTTTAAAGAGATATTTATGACTATATAATAATTTTAAATTATTTTCAAATAAATAAAATTACATTTATTCTACGAATGACATTGAAACACCTTTATTTTATTCATTTTTTCATTGATACATGTTGATAAGATAACAGGTATTATAGGAAAATAATGAACATTGTACACCAATCTATCTCTTGCCATATCAACATTTTATTATTAGATTATAGGTGGTTAATTTTTACATGGAAAATGAAATGCATTTCAACATCCTTAATTTAATTCTTTTGCTATAGCTAGATTAGGTTCATTTAAATTAAGAATAGCTGATTATAATGCTCACACAATGTTTTGCATTAGGTGTTTTTAAATTCAAAATTAATAATTTTTGTTAGGTTATTTTGTGGTAGATTTAGAAGTAATAGAAATAATTTTATAGTCATGGTTATTAATTATTTTTTAACGGTTTTAGAAAGGATATACAATTCAAACTTCAAACACCAAAAAATATGCAAAATATCCATTGGTCTTTACTCGCATGGTGGATGGAGCCCTACAGAACCTATTGGATTTAATTTTTCAAGATTTTATTGGTGTTTGGCTCAGTGAATTGGCTTTTAATTCTGAACAAATAATAGACAATATGAAACAAGATATATGGGGTGCAATCCAAAGTCTACATGGTCGCTTGTCTAAAGTGGATCACACAAAATTAGTCGTTTGTAATATAGTAAATAAGATTACTTTTCATTTTGAAAAGATTAGGATTGCTCAAGCAGCTTCGTATGTTCAGCTAAACTATTTTAATTATTACACAATAATAATTACCAAAGTAACATATTTTTCAATTTTTGAATAGATCTGAAGGTGAGGATCCAGTATTTATTTTATCAACACATTTAATGTCACCTACATCCGAATTAGACTACTTGAGAAGAGTCAGCGAATTATATATTTTGCTTTTGTTGCCACGTTGTTATTCTCTTGTACCAATAAAATATTTGCTGAGGGAAATTCTTGCATGTAAAAGTAAGTTTAATATAAAACTTTTCCGTTTATAGAATTATGTACTAAATATTTAATTTATTGTATATTTATAGTTCTAAAACCAGCAATAGACTTAATAACTGATCCGGATTACATCAATCAAAAGATTTTATCTTATATTGATCAGCAACAACTCGCAGAAGCAATGCACAGAAAAACATATGAGTATGCTGAATCGTTCGAAGACTTTATACGTATGATCAAAAGTTCCAAGGATTTAGAAGTTTTGAAGCATATCAGATATAATATTGTTACTGAAATTATGCAAGCCACGACAATACAGAATGTTAAAAGAGCACAAGGTTTAGATCCAGACAATAATGCATTTGGAAAATCCGATGCTATTCAAGCTAGAAAATTAAAGAGGTATATCGGCCAACTGACATATGCTAAAGATACATGCGAATGTCACATGCAATCATTAGGGTGGAATGGATATCCTGTTCAGGTTGCAAAAATAATTTTCTTTATCATTTGTTACTAAGAGTTATATTTGACAACAGTGTTTTATAGGCCAATGATATACCTGATTCAGCAGAAATCACTGATGAGAGAATATTGCCATTGCAATATATTCTGGATAATATAATAGGTCGAAGATATCTTTCACAATTTTTAGAACAAGTTGCTAGTCAAGACTTGATCGGGTACTGGGCAGCTGTACAAGAATTACGCAATGCTGATAAATCCCATTGGCATCAATTGGGTGCAGAAATTTTTTATACTTATATTACATCTCCTACTGCTGAAATAAAAGTTGACAGAGCTATTAGAAAAAAAATGGAAAGTTTTTTATTAGGTGATATAGGGCCTAACGTGTTTTATGAAGTTCAAAACAGTGTTGTTAAAACTTTGGAAGAAAAATATTATCCCTCGTTTGTAGTAAGTGAACAATACAAAAATATGCAACAAGCGTTACTCAATGAAAGAACAGATGGTTAGTATTTACTTCTTTTATTGCGGATGTACTATAATTTATGTATTGTGTATATAATTTTTAGATTTAGTAGAAGATCGTCGTATAACAAATGGAACGTTAACAGAAAATGTATCTTTACTTGTTGGAGAACATTCAAATTTTGCTCGCAGTAAATTAGATCAATTACAAGAAAAATTGAACAATAAGATGCAAGCTTTACAAGCATTGAAAACTTCATTGAAACCAGAAAGCAAGGTTTTGAATTTTTTGGCTAAAGAAGTTGAGTGGCTGCAAAGCGAGAAAAGGCAACTAGAAGCTCATTTAACTCATACTGAAATGTGGTCAGAGCATTTAGGCCATTGGAGAGTAGAAGTACAAAGTGCAGAAGTAAGGAAGGCTTAAAATATTAATCAGTAAAAATAAATAAATAGAGTTAAGTATTATTAATTTGAGAAATACTTGTTAAATAGATACCAGACAATGGAGAATCTCCACAGTTTGTTTTGGTTGTTCATATGGCCGAAGATGAAAATAATAGTGATAGTATATGCAGTGGTTGGGTAGTGCTGAGAAAATTACAAGATTTTCAAGATTTACACAGAAAACTTCGTCAACTCTGTTCCAACATAAAAAATTTAGATTTACCATCGCAACCTTTGAAATTCTTTGGAAAATCTGATAAAAATACTTTAGAAAAAGCAAAAATGCAAATTCAAAAATACTTAAATGTAAATTTCTAAATTATTATCTTCATTTAATAGAAAGTTTCAATGTTCGTCTTTTGATTAATACAATTATTATTTTCAGTTTGTTCTAGAAGATGAAAAACTTAATCAGAATGAATCTCTGTACATCTTTCTTAGTCCAAGTTCAGAACACTTGAAATATGCACCTCCCTCTCCAAAAAAATCTCGGTTCTCTTTATCAACATTATTCAAAACGTATGAAAGTGTCTGATTTAATATTATTATGCTTTTGTTCTAAATTAACTATTTGAACCATTTATATTAGATCCAGTACTACCAGTGAAATTCGCGACAAAGAAGATGAAGATGATTATTCTCTCTTGTTGGATGATACTGACAGTGGACGATCAGTCACAGATGGATACTTAAGTTCCAATAAAGATGCGATTGCAGAACCTCTGTATACACTTTTAGGCGAAATTTTTGATTTAAGAGGGGTATTTCGATGGCTGAGGCGTTCATTAATTACTTTTGTTCAAATAACTTACGGTCGAACAATCAATAGGTATAATTAATAATCATTAAAATTGTTAAATTAATATATTCGCGGCTGCTGATGTGAATCAGGTCTTTTCAAATATAACTTTTGAACACAACAGATCATTACAAGACTAATATTACAAAACAAATTTTCTAATTTTTTAAAAAAGCGAAAAATTTGTCAGCCACGAATGTGTTAATAATCTTTTATCTTAAATAAAGATAAACACGGAATTATATACACTTTTCAGACAAATCAGGGACACCATTGCGTGGGTGTTTTCAGAGCCAATGCTTCATTATTATGTACAATTATTTACAAAATCTTGGTGGCCAAATGGCTATTTGGTGTCTGGAAATTTTCTTCGTACGGATGAGGAGAAACTAAAAACACGTGGCGAAGCACGAAGACAATTCCTAAATAATGTACCTGATGTTTTAACTAATTTGGTTGGTGCCCAAAGTGCTCAACGTGGTGCAATTAAAATTTTTGATTCCTTGCAGAATGTAAACTTAAACAAACAATTATTTTATGTAAGTTATTACATTTTAACAAAGCTTCTAATGTCTGATTTGATTGTTAAATGTTTAATTCTTTTTTGCAGGATATCTTTGAAGTTGTAATGTATGAAGTATTTCCAGAATTAACAGAATTAAAACATTCATTGCAGTGAACTATATGTACGAGTATTCCTTGTACATTTTTTTTTAGCAAACATTATACATTTTGTAAAATCAAACGAATACAAATCTTGTTCACATATCTTTATTTCATCATGTTTTAAATATTTTCATAGACTGTATACACAATGTAAACAATTCTTTTATACATCACTCTTTTTCCATGCATTTAAAGATCAAAAAGATAATTTTGTAAAATATGATTAAAGTATGATTAAAGTATGTACTGAACGTAAATTTATTTTCAGTCATCACATAAGCCAAGTCATTTTTTACCGTGATACGTGTTATATACATTTATAGGTTGAATTTTCTTAATAAGAGATTTTGTAATGTATCACATGTGCGTTGTCATTTATATAAGAAATTGATAATCTATCAATAATAATCTGTATTTCGCGATATAACATTCTTTAATTTTACTTTTTAATGCGGTTAAAGAGTAACTATATTCTTCTAGATTAAAATCTATATATCAATCACTATATAATCTTATAATTTGTAAAACAATAACAATCTTTAAAACAAACAATAAATAAGAGATTATCCAATAAATAAAATACATTACGATATATTATTCATTTATAATTTAATTTACATTCAATTATCATTCATTTCATATATAATTTATAGTCAAATAAAAACAGGTATGTAATATATCAATAATGAACAAATACTATACATTTTATTTCACTTAACTGAAGTATGAAAGTGACATTATTTATGTGATGACTTGATATTCAAATGAGCAACGCTGTGATATTGATTTCTTCAATTATTCAAAATATAATTTAAAGATATACATCGTCTAAGTATAGCTGAAAAAGGGACTAGCTTTTGTATTATTTAATATTAAAGTATTGTTCTATGAGAATATTAACCATTCTCTTTCGATCAACTATAAAGTATCTATTATTTTTAATCTGCATATGACTTGTATAAAGCACGTATTATTAATTGTTATTGTTATTTTTATTATTATAGTTATGAATTTCCGCTTAGAACGAATCAATAGATGTAGGAATACGTTTGTTGCCAGTTTCTACGGTAAATAAAAATACAAGATTCAAAAAATGTATAAGATAATATAAATATATGTTCATAGGAAAGACAAAAATACATTCTTACATATTAACGTAATGTACACAAAGTTTGATAATAAAATACTCGGACTATATTACATTGTTTTGCGAGGATTGTGAAATTTGGTAATGATATTATATTTATAACAAATTTAGTGAAAGAATCGCACCGATGTGAATTTGTATGAGAAAGTTTGTAAATTAATTGAATATTTTGAAGTACTTATGAATCAGCATGAAAAAGATTAAATATCAATCGAATTACATCTATGTCCAGGAACATTTTTTTTATCAAACTTCGTATGTAATATGGAAAGCTACAAGTATGCTAGAACATACCGCTATAGAACAAGTACCATACATTATGTTAAAAGAAATCGAAATGAATGGAAATTATTGACATATTACAAATATATAAATATACAGTGCCTAATATTTAAACAAGTAATATAAATACTGTTATGTCTTTAATAGCATCGACTAGAATTATTTAAGGTAGTATTAAAAATTCAGAGATTATCGTTACTTATGTAATCGTTCAAAATAATGAAAATGTTTAGTTCTACGAGAACATTATCGACTATGATGATATAGTATGAAATTTTTCTCAATTGCGGTAAATGGAGTATCTAAAATCTATGTATACGGAACATTGTGAGTAACTTTAGAAATAATGTTTCATATACAATGAATATGTTTTAGCTTTGAACAAAAGTAAAGATGTATCTTTTCAATTGTTGGACTTCCAAGTGACGCATGTTGACTAGTTGGATCCCTTTCGCTATTGCAAAAAGTGTACACATTACAAGAATGCATACCAGTGTTTAATTACTTGGCAGTGAATTCGGGCCAATAGTTTATATAATAACGATGTGTTAAACCTTCGAATAATCTGTCTAACCACATAGGCAGACCGTCCAAAAGATTATCCTGATACAATACATTGTTTCCGCTCTGCGAACAACACAATTCCATATGACTTACTTCGTTTTTATTTCAATAATATTTTTAATGAATTTTATTTATTCAATACCTCGTCTTCAGAAAGATCGGATTCGTTAGAACTATCAAAACCAATAAATGCACCAGCTTCAGCATCATCTGCTCTTCGAGTTAATTGTTTCGTCATTCGTTCCATTCGCTATGAATATAACTATCGTTCAATATTTTTTAATTCTCATACACAAGGAACAGTGAAATAAATATTCTTAGTTTATACCTTAGAACCTTTTCCTTTACTACATTCTGGATGTTTGGCATGGTACATACAAAAATATTTACGGTGCCCGTTTAATGATAGTACAGTGCCAACACAATTTTTGGCATTTATATTTAACTCCTTTTGTTCTGACAAAGTGAGGGATAGTAACTTTTTATACCAATCTAATCCTCTTTCGAGAGACATGTGCCCAAACATAAGGGTCTTATTTTTTCTGCAATAAAAGATGAGTATTTTCATTATGAATTACAAAATAAAATCTTATTGACTCACCTATAAGGCCACACAGCTTTATGAAAAGCTGGTAATAATTTTAGTCTACTTTGAGCATCAACTAATAGTATAATGGTTCTACAGCCTGGTTTCAATAGTCGAACTAAACCATTATATTTCTCTGCGCGTAATTCATGTAATCGCAATTGCGGCTGTGATGGTGTCGATTTACCGTTATCCTTACATTGAGCACGTTCAGCTTGAACATTCGCTTCTTCTAGTTTCCTACAATGAAATACGACATTAAGGAATTTATTTTATGTTCACGTTTTTATAATATCAAATTACTCACACTAAATACGACATTCCGTATCCTGCTGCTCCAATTAACATTAGAGTAGCAATTACTGATACCAAAGGTAAAATCTGCTCTTTAGTAAGACTATCTGATATATAATCTACAGCTAACAATGCCTTGCCAATAAGTTTATCTACTGTACCCTGTAGAAATAATGAAATAGCAATAATTGGTAGCACTGTATCCAGTTTAAACCTCGAAAAAATACAAGTAAATACCTGTGCATGTTCATCTGCTAATTCTCCTACAACCGCAGCATATGGCAGAGCTTCAGATGCTCTTAGTAATCTCTGTATAGTTTGTTCCAAATTTCGACGTGTTTCGTTCCACTGATTCTCATCTTGAGCAGCCTCAATCCAACCAGTAGGTAACCATTCGTACTTCAGATGATTCGCATCTCTTCTCCAAATGATGACAATGTGTAACAAAGGTTCTAAAGGACTTCCTTCGCCTGTCGATAATGCTGATACAAATTCTGGTTGTGTATCTTTAAATACGTATGTGTATCTAACCCGTTCAGTGCTGTAAATTTTAATAAACTATTACATACTGAAATAGTGATTAGAAAAATTGTATATTTACTATAATATTACCTGTAAGATGATTCTAAAGCTGCTTGTCTAAATTTATGTCTTGCAACATCATGGAGGGGATTATTCTGTTGTGATATTAGAACTGCACACAATCGCTTTTGTGGTCTTAACCATTCAGGTGGACAAACAGAATCTAGCATCGCTTGATTCGAAAGTCTTGGCAAAGCAAGAAATTTATTATTTGATATAATATTGTGCATCGTATCACTGGATATATCTTTCATACTAACGGATGCCATAGGTTTTTCAGAATTTTCATTAAACAATAACAAAGTATCTAAATCTGCAGAAATCTTATACTTTGTTACAATAGATTCTGTATCTTCATTTCCAGTCTGTAAGAATAAAATTATATATTATCGAAGAATTGAATAATTCTTAGAATACTATAATGTCATTATAAAATTTTTACCTGGACAAAACCAAATGCAACACGATCTCTGTAGTAAAATGCAATAAATAGATATCGTAATCGTATTGATTCTTTTCTGTCAAATATTAAAGCTCGAATTCTATTATCTATCCATCCTGAGAGGAAATTGTCTACATTATTTTCGTTTATGTTAGGTATTAATTTATATGGGAATTTGTTTCGTAAGAAGTCTGAAAGATGATAAGTATTAAGAATTTAATATTCAACATCAGTATAAATGAAATGCTCAATTAGTTTTTAAAATACATACCAACAATCTTTTGCACACTGAACAAAGATTCTTTATACACACTAGTGCGACCTTCTATTGTCACAACAAGGCATGGCAATGAATGAATACCCAATCTTCTTGCCAAAGCAGATTCTTTCTCAGCATGTGCAGTTGCTAACCCGAGACCCAATGGTTCTAATTCGTCCACCAAGCGGCGCCATGTTGGTTCTACTTGCAAACACGCAAAACACCAATCCGAATAGAATAATATTACATAAGGTGTACGAAAAGTTTTTGGTACTATCACATTTTCGAATGATCTGTAATAAATATAATTATGTTTAAGATGGTCAATTATCATAATTTATACAAACATATCTATTCTATATAAATTTATTCTATATAAATATACAAACCGATATGTGATGCTCATCTTGTAAAAGAGTGAAATATCTCGAGTTTGATAATGGAACTTAAAATTTCCACCAAATAATTCTTCCAAAGGATCAAGAACATTAAATTGACTATTATCTCTTCTCTGTCTAGGAATACTTTCTTCTGTGATTCCATGATTATCAAATTTTTTTCTTCTTTCTGGATCAGTTAAGATCTAACAAAACAATTAAAACATTAAATCACAGAACTGTCAAGAAAACACTGAATCATTCATATATAATACATATATATATGCATATACACATACATACATATATACATATATATATATATATATATATATATATATATATATATATATATATATATATATATATATATATATATTTCTGCCAAAATATTAATTTTACCTCATATGCCTTTGTAATTTCCACAAATTTATTTTCGGCACCAGGATGATCGGTTTTATCAGGATGCCTAAGAAGCAATATGTAATTAATAAAAAATAAGCAGACATTTTAATGTCCATGAAGATTGTGTACTAAATATAAAATAAGTTTTTATTAATAATATTCCACTATCATGTAAAATGTATGGCATATAAAATCAAGAATGGATTTTTTTTATTTTTATGCAATAAAATAAAGTATAATAGTCACATCGATGCTCACCATTCTTTGACAAGATTTTTATATGCCTTTCGAATTTCTTGTAAGGTTGCACGTTTGTGGACACCTAAGATTTTATACGGGTTTCCCAATGATTCGATTCCACCCGCCGACGACAGTAAATTAGTTATTATAATGAAAATCACGATAAAAAATGAAAACCTCATTAATAATTCTATATTAACCACTTTTCTGTTAATGTTATTCGATCGTTTGCTTACTGACTTCGAGGTTCTTAAAAAATTAATCGATAACATTATTTGTAATGCAGTTTTAACGTGCGTGTATGTCTATTGAATTATACACTTTAACATGAAGTCAACATTGGCTATAACTATCCCGTTTTCTCTTTACAGTGTTTAGCAAACATGTTCAGCACAAATTTTGGCTTATTTTTACGCCGGAAACTCTGTCATTGCAGTTTTATAGTGATGTTTCTGGATGACCATGTTGTCAAATCGAATATATACGGTGGACATTAAATCCTAGAATGCTCTAGTAACGGTATAGAATCGATTGTAAGAGGGCGCTAAAATAGATACAATTTTTCTTTATATATTTTTTAACTTATGTCTAAAAAATTGTTTTATATGTTGCAAGATAATGAAAATTTAATAGAATTTTATTTTTTTCTAAACTGATAAGTGTGCACTGGTTCAGCTACCAAATTTGATATCATATTGAAATATGCATGAACACGACACTGTCCAATAATATAAATTTGGTTAAATTACCAGTTTCTAAATTCAAAAACTTTATTTTCCCTAACAATTAAAGCGTATTTTCTTAAATTAAAATCTTTTAACTATAAATTTAAACACAATCGTTTATAAAAGATAAAAAAATGTATATTAAAATTTTGTGCGCGATCCATCCATGAAATTTCCAGCATGGTAATCTAGGGAAATTAGGAAATTCTTTATAATCACAGAGTATGTAATATGTACTATTTATATACATTTTCATAATTTGAATTCAACGAAATTACATATTGGCGTTATAACAAAGAACTCGCGATAATTAGTTGGATTTTACGACCATTCTATTAGTGACTTTATGTAACAGCTTTTACGTAACAAGTTACTAGCTAAATAGTAATTTCACATTTAAATTTTACCTGCTTGTGGCGCGCTTAAGATTGACCTATAAAAGTAAAGCGAGCAGATTCTAATGAAATTAACAAATCCACAGAAGAAAACAATTGTTACATTTACTAGATTCTAAATAAATAATACTTACAAATAATATGACAAATTAAAAACATTCTTTTCCTTTATCATGTTCAAATACGCAATAATAATGTACTATGTGTGAACCTTCACTTTGAACATACTTATTGTAAACGTACATCTATTTTATTGAAAAATATCGTTAACTGAAAAACAAAAAATTATTTTAAAATATTGCTTTTACAAATAATTAATGCTTCGATAATGTTTTACGAGATGGTTAGAAACTTACGTATGACGTAACTACCAATATTATAGATCTACTTTAATACAGAAAAATGGCTGGTACCGCTTGGACTGAAGACGAAATTGGACGAAAATGGGATCGATGTTTTACAGATGCAATTTTTAAATTTGGTAAATGTTATTTAATAGTTGTGATGTTTATTAATCGTAGAAGAAGTGTGTACTTTTATTGTTGCTAATACTGTGACATTTTCCTAGGAGGGGGACTTATCCTTGGTAGTGTGTTTTCTCTGCTTTTTTTCAAACGTAAGACTTAATTATTTTAATATTTAATTAAAAATTTCACCTATTCCACTTTTAATAATAAGATAGAATTATAATTTATATGCTAATATATTTAATTTATCTACCTTTACATAAACATCGGAATATAATTTTGAAGGTTAAGAAAATGCAATTCTTGACAGAAAAATCTAATTGAATTTACATTTTCAAAGATATTGAGTATAATTGCACATAAGGGTACATATAATTTTCTTAACCATGCTATTGTATTCTTAAAAATAATATTATTAAATATGTGGAGTAGGTTAAGTATCATAAACATATATATGTATGTACTTTAATATTAAATACACTATAAATTTAGGAACCATTATATTATATTAAAGATGTTATTATTGTTATGGGTACCATATTATGAAAAATTATGGTATATTCATAATGTAATATTAAAATTTTTTATTTATTGTAGGTAGAAAATGGCCTATTTTAATTGGTTCAGGTTTTGGATTAGGTATGGCATATTCTAATTGTCAAGAGGATTTAAATTCAACGATAAGGCAACAAACATTTAGAGATTGCAGCAAGATTCCCAAAGATGAAGGAAAGAAAACTTCTTAGCAAGTTTTAGTGGCAAAATTGTTATGCTATTATAAAACATGATATAACATACCAATAAACTAGTTGAACTTTATTATAGAATCGTAAAAAATAAAATCTTAATAATTTTAAGTTATTATATTCAATGTAAAGAAATAAATTACTGTGAAACTTTCTGTGTATCATACGTGTATTGTTATTCACAATTGTATTTTTCTTACAAGACCTTCAAGAGTAGAAACTGCATTTATTAAATATGTGTAATATTTTATTGATTACATAAGAAACATTTTGTTATTTTTTAGTATAAATTTATATGTGACATATTAATTAATTCCTACACTGAAAAAATAAATTCATTAGATTACATTTTGCAGAATACATAAATAACTAGTACTTAACCAAGAATTTTACGAACATATGCTTATTGTAATATCCCAGTATATATTATTTTGAATATAAAATTATTACTACAATAAAAAAAATAAATTATTTATATTTGAAAATATCGTTCTTTGCAAATATTATTATAATATTAGTAGTTATGATTACAATTTTTAACTATTTTATCAGCTTAAGTATATTCGCATTTATGTGTGATGCAAAAAGGCACTGTTTCTAGTAACTTATCGATACTCTATGTTGCTTCGTGAAAGTTTTTCTCTCTTAATTATTATATTTAGAAATATATTTGTTTTTACGTGTAATTTTAATTTCAACGATAAATAATACATAAAAAATAGGCATCAATAGAAATTAATAATAAAAAAATTACACGTCGAACAGTATTTCTTTTAAATTCTGATTCGATACATTTCGATATATGGAGCAAGAATATTGCTGAGTGAATGGCTCGGATCTAAACAGATCTAAGCAAGATGGATATGTGGTAATCTTCGGTACAAGCATCATATTGTCAATTTTGAAAGAATTCTGTGAATTATAGTGATATTTGTATCAAAGTTAAGTGGTGTTAAATAAAACCTAAGAAAATGTTGACCGCTGCTACGAATTCAATATCAAATAACGGAGGATCTTATAGCAATGACAGATCAAGTACTGCAGATCCAGAACTTGCAACTGATCCTGCTTCTGGAGGATTTTTTCATTCTGATTACAAAAAGTAAATATTTAAATCGTTATCCATATTATTTTAACATTAAATATCTTATTAGCGAAAAGTATTATTACATATTTTGGGACTCTATTTTAAAAATGACACAAATACTAAAAACATTTTGAAATAAGTATAATTGTTATAAATAAAATATTTATATTTTTGTACCTATATATCTCAATGTTATTAACTTGTATATATACATGTTAGTTTTATATGGCACAGTTTATAATATATTGCAACAAAGTATGTTCACATATGATACATAGCTACATATTTGTAATTTGTATTTTCCAAATTAGGCATGACGATTTAAAACAAATGTTGGATAGTAATAAAGATGGACTTAAATTGGAAGCTATGAAACGTATAATTGGGGTAATACATCTTCCGCTTTAAATTAACTTTATTCCAGAACAATCAAGAAACTAAGATATTTATTACAGATGATAGCAAAAGGAAGAGATGCATCAGAATTATTTCCAGCTGTAGTAAAAAATGTTGTATCAAAGAACATCGAAGTGAAAAAATTAGTTTATGTTTATTTAGTCCGTTATGCAGAAGATCAGCAGGATCTTGCGTTATTGTCTATTTCTACATTCCAACGTGCTTTGAAAGATCCTAATCAGTTAATAAGAGCCAGTGCTTTGAGGGTACTTTCAAGCATACGTGTATCTATGATTGTTCCTATTGTAATGCTTGCTATTAAAGATTCAGCTAGTGATATGTCACCATATGTTCGAAAAACTGCAGCGCATGCTATACCTAAACTTTATTCACTGGATTCAGAGCAGAAAGAGGAACTGATTAATGTTTTAGAAAAGTTGCTTTCTGATAAAACAACTCTAGTTGTTGGTTCTGCGGTAATGGCTTTTGAAGAAGTTTGTCCTGAGAGGATTGACTTAATACATAAGAATTACAGAAAGCTCTGTAACTTATTAGTAGATGTTGACGAGTGGGGCCAAGTTATTATAGTCAATATGCTCACAAGATACGCAAGAACACAGTTCATTAATCCAAACGTAGATGTATGTATAATTCTTTGAAGTCGTAGGAAATCATTTGGTGTAAGGCCTATATTTTGTGAAAATCATTTTTATAGAATGTAGAAGAAGATGAGAATCGCCCATTTTATGATTCTGATTCTGATTCAACCAATACTAAGAAAACAAAACTATCGTTAGATCCTGATCATCGATTATTGTTAAGAAACACAAAACCTCTTTTACAAAGTAGAAATGCTTCTGTGGTAATGGCAGTTTCTCAGTTGTATCACCATACAGCACCACGAAGTGAAGTTATTACTGCTGCTAAAGCACTGATCAGGTTATTAAGGGGACATAGAGAAGTTCAAAGTGTAGTTCTTCACTGCATAGCTAGCATATCAATTACCAGAAAGGTAATGTAAGTACTAATATAATGTACTAAACCAAAATATTATTTTCTAAAATTTTTAAATTTGTACAGAATATATATTTAATTTTTTTTTTGTAGGGAATGTTTGAACCTTTTCTTAGATCATTTTTTGTAAGAACTTCAGATCCTACACATATAAAGCTCTTGAAATTAGATATTTTGACTAATCTGACAACTGAAACTAGCATTGGGGTTATACTGAGAGAATTCCAAACATACATTTCTAGCAGTGATAAAGAATTTGTGGGAGCGAGTATACAGGCAATTGGTAGATGCGCAAGTAATATCAAAGAAGTGACCGATACTTGCCTAAATGGATTAGTTTCACTTTTGAGTAACAGAGACGGTAAATATGATTCCAATACTCATTTATGATAATAACTGTGCAATACTTACATAATTATGTTATGTTTTTCATGATTTTTATATTCAGAGGCTATTGTAGCTGAAAGTGTTGTTGTTATAAAGAAACTCTTACAAACTCAGCCAAATGAACATAAGAATATAATAGCTCATATGGCCAAGTTAATGGATTTTATCACTATACCACAAGCTAGGGCATCAATATTATGGCTCTTGGGAGAATATTCGGATAGGGTACCTAAGATAGCACCGGACGTTCTAAGAAAAATGGCCAAAAATTTTGTAAATGAACAGGACATAGTGAAACTACAGATATTAAATTTGGCTGTTAAACTATGTCTAAATAATCCTGCACAGACTAAACCGTTCTGTCAGTATGTTTTTCAGCTTGCAAAGTATGATCAGAATTATGATATCAGAGATCGCGCTCGTTTTTTGAGACGTTTTATTCTTGACGAGGATGATCCAGACAAGAAACTTCCTCAACTTGCAAAAAGAATATTTTTAGCCTCAAAGCCTGCTCCAACTCTGACATCCAGGTTCAAAAACTCCGAATTTCAGTTAGGTACATTGTCGCATTATTTGGATATGCCATGTGCTGGTTACCGTCCATTGCCATCGTTCCCTGATGTAGCTCCAGAACCATCTGTTAGAGATATTCCTAGTGGAAATATGAGAGATATAAGAGAGGAATATTTTAGAAAAGATAAGAAGGATAAGAAAGGGAAAGAAAAAGAGAAATCTTTTTACAGCGATGAAGAAAATTTAGAAATATTTGCAGGAGATGGTAAACTTTATATACATTGATAAACTTTATATACATTATACTCAAAATAGTCTAACATTAAAATAATATACAATTACAGAATTAACCAACGATAATGAATCTTCGGATACTTCGTCGAGCGATTCTTCAGATGAAAGTAGCGATTCATCTGAATATACATCTAGCTCCAATAAATCTGAAAATGATAATGAGAAAAAGAAATCTACTAAAGAATCTGACGAATCTAATGGTGAGTCCGAGAGTGAAGAATCAAATTCAGAAGAATCTTCTGAACAGTCAGAAGAAAGTGAAGAAGAGAAATATAAAGCTTCAAAGCACGATACGAGAGAACAACCTAAAAGTAACATTGATCTCCTACTAGATTTAGTCGATGGTATGATATAATATTAAAAAGGTTATGAAACAAAACTTTGAATGAAAGTATGTAAACTTATATAATACATTGATTACAGATATTCACATAACACCTGTAATGCCATTAAGTACAGGAAGTCTTCTTACTCCAATGAATTCAAATATTTCAAATGATGTAAGAGAAGTATCATTCCCTTCTATTCCAATGAAAAAGTCTGAATTGTTAAATAGTATTACAGGTCACGGTTTAAAAGTTGAGTATAGGTTTACAAGAACACAACATTTAGTAAGCGCTCATTTAGTTGCTATTGAATTAGTATTTTCTAATGAAGGTAGTAATTCTATTAAGGAGATTCAAATGGGAACAAAGGTAAATGTTTATTACATTAAAAATTGTATTCATTTATTTATGAAGATTTGTGTTTATTTTTAGAATTTACCGAAAGGTATGCTTCTACATGATTTTACACAAATATCACTATTAGAAACGAATGGTATTGCAACATCCACATTGGGTATCAATTTCAATGATTCCACTCAGCCGGCAAATTTTAATATTGATTTTACAATTAATGAAGAAACTTATTCATGTCCGGTGATTATTAAAGCACCTGTTGGAGAAATAATACGTGCTGTACTTCTGCCAGATAACATGTTTGTTACTGAAAAAGCAAAATTGAAAGGCATGAACGAACATGTAGCAAAAGTGCAATATGCGGGAAATAAGAAAGATATTCCTCAAATGATCTATGAAATTGCGAATGTTGCAATAATATCTAGTACTGACGAAGAAATGAGGTTAGTAATTATTTACTGTTTATACGAAGAACATAAAGTACACTACTCACAATAATTTTTCCTTTATTCGTAGATTTACCGCCCACACCCTAGCCTCAAATTCATTGGTATTAGTGACAATAAAAATTACTGGAAGCGAATCTTTGGAAATATGTGTAAATTGTGAGAAAATGGTGATAGGTTCTATCTTGTTGAATGAATTAAAAAGCAATTTAAAATAAATGAGCTATTTTATACTTCAGTCATAAATATATATATATATATATATATTGAATATATATTTATATATATATATATTTACACTTGTATGAAAAAAATGCAAAACTTTTACGTTAATTAAACATATATATTTACATATACATTCAATCTCAGAAATGTATGTTTATTATTAAATATAAAAAGTCAACTATAATATGTTTGTTATAATGTTATTAAAATTTTTATAATAAATTGAAGTTACTATTTAATAAAGAAAACTGACTGGTTTGTGAACTTATATAAACGTTTTATATATTTAATATTAAATAATTGTAATGTTTATAAAAACAAGAGAATATCTTTAAATTGTCGAGAATTATCGAAAATAATCGAAGCTATATATCGATTTAGAAATGTAACTACAGAGTATGCCCTCTAGATGGAAACATAGTATAGACTCTTTTAGCTGCACGATTTACGGTAAGGAGGAATGATATCAACAGGCTTAATATAATCAAAGTAATCTCTTATTTCAATAAAATAGAAACTATATATTTTGTCAAATATTACATATTTCATAAACCTTTTTTAAGAAGAACATTGTATTTTTTTCTCTAATGTTATGATTCCATTAAATTTTAAACACTTAATGTTATGAGAGGTTACAGTTTGACGTTTCACTGTTCTAGTTATTTAATTTTCGATATATATTAAACATTTTCGATCTTAATCATTTCATTTCGTTCTGGCTTTGCAATTCCTTAAAAATTGGTTCTTTATATTTTATAGCTTTGTGAAAACGTGACATAACCTATATTTATCATGGTAAACATGCCTTGTAAGAGATTACAATAATGAAATTTATATATACAGTTGCATTCACCACCTTTTTATTATACATACTTATTTCTTAAGTAATACTTATTACTAATTTGATAGATGACGGAGACGAAAGAAGCCAAGGAAACAACAGTGAAGTCCCAGGAGAACAAAAATGCTTCTGTGGACAAAAAGGGTAGAAAGGGAGGTCGCATCAGACCAAGAAATTATGATTTAGGAAATGGTGTTTATAGATTCAGTCGCACTCGCATGTTCCACAAGAAGGCTATTTATAAATTTCTTGATAAGAAAACTCCAAAAACTGTATGTTTTGTAATATATCTTTTGTTTATTGTTTTTACTTATAGATATATATTTACACAAGTATTTAATAATAGTTCAAGCCCAAGAAACCAGTAACCATTGAGAAGAAAATTAGTGGCGATAAAAATGGGGAGAAACGTATTGTATTGTTAAAGAAGAGACGTGCTAACTATCCAACTGCAGACCCTGTGACTGTACATCATGCTAAAAAATGTTTCCGTGATCATCAACGTTATTTGAGGCCATCTTTAAAACCAGGAACAATTTGCATCTTGCTTGCTGGTGCTCATAAAGGGAAACGAGTTGTTTTGTTGAAACAACTCAAGAGTGGCTTACTTCTTGTTACCGGTGAGTGCTGCATATAATAAATTTAAATTTAAACGGAAATTAATAGAGAGTATTAAATTATATATTTTGTATAATAGGTCCATTCCTGATTAACGGTTGTCCTCTTAGAAGAGTTAGTCAGAATTATGTGATTGCAACTTCTACTCGTATTAACATCTCAGGCTTAAAACTCCCGGACCATGTTAATGATGATTACTTTAAGAGGAAACGTGAAAAGCGTGCAAAGAAAGAAGAAGGTGATATTTTCGCCAAGAAAAAGGATGAATACAAAGCAAGTGAACAAAGAAAAACAGATCAGAAAGTAATTGATAAATTTGTAATTTCTGCCGTTAAAAGGAATAAGGAGAAAAAGTTGTTGTTTACTTATTTGTCTGCCATGTTTGGCTTAAGAAGTAGCCAATATCCACACAGGCTAAAGTTCTAATCTTTTATGATTTGAATACAAATATACAATAACTACTGAAATATTGAGTGTATTATTTATTACCTTAAACTATAATAATTTAGGAATGCATGACAGTTATTGTAATTAATTTCATTCAACACTTTTTATACCATAATTTTTCCTACTTTTCTTTTAAAAAGATTTTGCTAATGCATTAGAATATTTTTAACAGCATTGGTAATTCAATGTAGCAAGTTATATTGTATGGGATGTTTGTATGAATCTTAAGTTCACGTTTAGATTTATTAGTAGAAATTGAGTATCGTGTAAACTTCATTTCTAATATAGGGGATAAATGAGATTTGGCTGTCTAAATCGATGCTCCTGGGTACTCTAGAACTCGGTGTCATATGTTCTGAATTACCGACTGTGTAAAAAATCAGACGTTTTGCTCTGTCGTCTATGCCTAAAGAACGATCAATAGGAAAACTACATGAAGCAAAATGATCAAAGTTAACCAAGTAGTAAATATGGTAAACCCAGTATACAAACGTATCCATTAAAATGTTGCCATGTATTCAAATTTCTAACCTGTGAAGCTTGTAAGTATTTACTGTACTTCATTTTTGCAACGAGCAAATTATGATTTAACGGCAACGAATGTATAAGGCGTACATTTAAACAAAGGAAGTAGTATTTATTCAATAGAACTTCATAACAATACAGTTTTTGTTGATTCACAAACGTAAATATTTTTATAAATACATTTACTATATAAAGTACAGCTATAAAATTTGTATAGGAGATTATCTTGATTAATTATACAATTGTAGAAAATTCTTCGATAAATTATATACTAATAGTTTTTATTTTAATGATTGAAATGTCGATAAATAAAATTGAAGTTCAATATACATTTTTATTTGAACTACTATATTTGTAATAAAATGTTTAGGTATTCAGGACTAATGATTCTTCTTAAATCTATGTAAATAAATATAGCAATATTTAAATTGCTTTGAATGGAAATAAGCATATTTCACGCATATCCCGAAAGTGTGGGAGAATTGGAGTTTAATCCGTTTCATAATATACCGTTACCAATTTGTTACGTGGACATTGCCATGGGTGGCGCCACAGTCATTCCGCATGAAATCCCACATCGGTAACATTTGTCTACCAGTTTGGGCGTTTTGCCACGGATGGCATCATTGCTTTGCCGTCATTGCCGTCAGCACAATCGCGGCTATGCGCGCGAAGTTTAAAAAGAACGACTATCGCCTCGCCGCGATATCTGGCGTGTGCTTTTATTTAATATACATATTTACAATATTTACTAAATTATTATATTGAAATATTTTTATTGACCAGCTTCTATGACAGTTTGTTTCTAACTGACTATTTACAAAAAGAATATCACGAATATTAATACGTTGAACGCCGTACGATTTCACAGAGGAAAATACACAGAATAGAAAAAATATAATATTAAATCATTTGTCATGAATGTCACTGTATTATGTAGCATTATTTGTAATATAGAAATGTTTTAATATACTCATCGTTTCATTGAGTGAACTCGATTGAGTAATTCGATTTGGTCGGAGGTCACCGGTGACCCCCATGACATTCAACGTGTTAACAAAAAAATTTTAAAGTGTGAAGTTAAACAATAATTAATGAAAAATAGAAATTGACTTTATCTATAAGTAGAAACCAACATTATCGACCCATTGGCTATAACTATTTCTGTCCTTCTTACTTCCATACATGTACTATTCGCTTCTCACGTTAGTGCCGTCGGTCTTTGGCTCAAAAGTGCACAGGTGCAAGAGAACCATAGCTCTGGAACAAGATCAAGTAAGATACATATTTCCATCGAGACCTTTTATTATTTTTTAATTCCCGATTCATCGTTTATGTGTCCTACGTGTCATGAAGCACCTTGCTGTCGCATATACGTAGTGTCCGCAAATGAAAAGCCACTTTTTGAGGAGACACACGTGTACCATGCATGATCGTATCAGCGAAATGATTAAACGACAGATGTATCGTTGAAATAGTGATAGGAAAATCCTGTCGCGTTGAAAGAGCATCAGGCAATGTGTTGTCACATTTTTTCTTCCCTTTAATCCTTTGCATTTGAGAGGCGACTCTCAGTCGCCATTTAATTGAACGCAACAAAATTATCAAATGAAAAATTCAATATAAAACGTTGTATAAGGTATTAACATATGGAACATAGAAATAAAACAACTCTGGCCCATAATTTATGCAAGATGTTCCTTTATGTAAGTTGAAAATAATATTGTTAATATTTTGTCAGAAAATAATGAATGTTTGTAATAAAAAATATTGTCGAGTGCAAAGGGTTAAACGAGTTCTATCAATGAAGAAAATTAATTTGTGTTTAATTTCTTGTTCCATACTGGTCTAGAATACTGGGAATCCGTAGGTCCGTAGCTTAGAGATTGCGTTTACAAGCGTTTCTGGTTTCAGTCACATCACCTCTCCTTTTTGTTCTGTGCACGTCCATCTTCGCTTCTGGAACTATCGGGTACGGTATTCTAAAAATTTCGATTTTTTACAATTCAAGAACGTATATCCCTTTACGACTGTTCCATTCTTTTTTATCCTATTCCCGGTGGGAGTATACTGCAATAAAAGCTTTGCAATGGTAACGACTGATTGTGAATTGTCTTTAAGGTTGGTTAAAATAAACTGCTCTGTACATTATTATTCGAAGCTATGAAATTTTCACTGTTTTCCTTACGCGAAATTGAATCTAATTTCCAGAATACACACGCATTTTTATATAATACATATATGTATTTATTTACATATATATTTACTTTTATTTTTATTTTTAATCTTTATTTATATTTGTATTTATATTTAAAATATTCACTTTTATATTTATATTTTTTTTATTTTCATTTTCATTTTCATTTTCATTTTCATTTTCATTTTCATTTTCATTTTCATTTTCATTTTCATTTTCATTTTCATTTTCATTTTCATTTTCATTTTTATTTTTATTTTTATTTTTATTTTTATTTTTATTTATGTGTTCTGACTCTCCAGTAGTCTGACTTTCTACAGAAATACCTGTCGAGTTTGAAAACAAATTGTCGAAATAATACTAGAAACACATCTATCCTGATAAACATTTTATACATATCATAGTCCACGACTTTTTCTCATTCCGTTCACAAACGTCTGCAAAACTTTAGGAGCCGCTCAATATGTGTGCGATAATGGGTGAACGTATTGTGAGTTTATAATGAGTTTACAATAAATTGCCAAGTGCGTCGATAAGCGATCCTCTATTTCTCGTCAGAATCAATGTTTAAAGAAAATCTAACGTTCGTTATATTCTTAGTCTTATATACTTCGAACTTAAAGCGTGTTGACAGTTTGTTAAAACAAATAGTGAATCATTTATCGGTAGACTTAATAAATGCTGAGGTATGCAAATTATCGGACTCAGTGTAGTCTATTCACAATTCTCAGCTTTTTTGTATAAGTATTTCGATCCATGGTCTTCCCTTTCTTAAAAGCACCTGTTCTTTTTATAAACGACCATTCGATGTTACTTCAAATTACTAGGTACTCATTTCACATTGTTCTTTTTCTTTTATAATAGGCGATCGAGCAAAATTTTTCCAGAGTCAAATGTACAGCGTGTAAGATAACCGTTGAGTATGGTTTTCAGGAACCGATCTACACCTTTCGATCGGTAGGTACACGTAGAAAGTAGTTCTCGGAAAAACTACCTGCGAAGATAGCGATTCTCTTTAGTACGAGCGTAAAAATCATACAATTATATCGTTACACGTTATTTACTTACTATGCGACACGTGTTTCTTTTTAATACTTTTTTTTTTATCCTATGAAGAAAGTTTACATAGACATTGAACAAAAGTTACACGTGCCAGTGTGAGTCGAACACTGGAAAGTATAAGAAATAACTTTTCACACCACATATTTCAATATACACCGAATATATCGAGTCCGTATACGATGAAGTTATGCATAGAAAATTCGTAGCGGTCAGTTAATCAAAAGCAGAGAAATGTATTGGTGAGTATGAAATCAACGTACGAAACATTTTAACGGAAACATTATCATTTATAAACACAGTTTTGTCTCTCTCTCTCTCTCTCTCTTTCTCTCTCTCTATATATATATATATATATATATATGTGTGTGTGTATATATATTCTTCTCTAGCTCGCGTTGAATCATTTGCACACCTCTGCAGTGTCAGCCGTATACGATGGTGGTATATATACCGTTCGCAGTGGGAACCGCGTCGAATCCCTATGAGAAAGGACAACGAGATGCCGATGACGCACGAACGTCAGACGTTTTAAAAAAATGTAAAAACCCTAATCATCGTCGAGAAACGCTTTACGAAAACGTCGATGTGTGCGAAGCGAAGGTTCATTTATTTACAAAGAATACTTTGCTCGTCGTCCGCCGATGACACCAACTCGCTTCGATCCTGTAAGTCACTTTGCGTTGACTTCGCGTTCGTTACAAACTATTCGAGTATTGTTCAATCTCGATTTTTTTCCATCGGTTCCCGAGAAGCAAAACCGCAACAGAAATAATAGGTGGCTGGTTTACTGTGATTGCCGAGGATATTAAGCTAGATCATCGCGATCGTGTTTGAAAACGTTATCTGTGTATGCTGGAACATGGATGTGAACGAATTTCTAGATCACCGACACCCACGCTTCGAATATCCTTAACTTTGTACATGAATGGAGGTTGTTCGTCCAATCTCCGATCTGCGAGAAAGGAATAAAGCGACATGAACATTGGAAACGAAAAATTACCATGCATACGTTCTCGTTCTTTCGTTCATATCTTTGTTTTTTGTTTGTTTGTTCGTTCTTCCGACAATTCGTGGATGTGTTGAGGCACTCACATTGTCCGACCAAATGCGTTTCAACCATATAAAAGTGTGCGATCAGACGAGGGTACAGGGAAATTTACATACAGGATGCCTCCGGAGGTGACGGTCCCTTCAAGAGAGATAATACAAGCCAGAGAAAAATGTCCTGTAAGCGTGAACTAAAATCGAACACGCCCAACCGGTAGAAAGGGGATTGTTTTCGTGGATTATTTCTAAGGCAAAGATAAGAATCAAGGAATATGATGTATCGTCGATGGAAAAGTTGATGAAACTTCAAATAAAGTATAAACTATATTACTGTTCGTTAAATAGTTTTACGTCAGTACGTTTAACAAAACAGTTCGACACGTTTGTTTCTTTTTTTGTTTTTTTTTGTTTTTAAATACACACACGTACTCCGTTTAACGAGTAGACTGTGGATCTTCTGTGTTCGTGGAAACTCTTACGATTCATACTGATAGTCAGTTTACATTTAAAACTTTGATAGACCTTAATGAAGTTTTCGTTTTATTTAGAATCTGATATAACGTTCTACATAGTAATCAAATTTTCGTGTGATTCCAGGTTCTGCAAGGTAGTCAAGAAAAATCTGTATTTACACGTGAATCCGCAGCCTACTAACGATTCAAATTAAAAACTAGGGTTTTCGTGGACTATTTTTCACTTTGAATCCAAGGATACGTTCGCATGGTGTTCAACGTGGATTCTTTAAAGGATGAGACTGTATAAACGTTCGTTTCGTCGACAGGACATTTTTTACACCCTTTCTATAGCTCTCTTAATAATATCATACTTTCCAGAGACACCATATATATTGAGAGAGGTATGCAAATTATTAGACTTAGTTTTTTTCTTTCTCAAATGTTCACTGAGATGTCGAATGATTGTATGTAACAGGAAAGTATCGTCGTGATCGAAAGTCGTTTCTCAGGTCACAGATCACAACTGGTAACAAGAAAATGTGAAATAAACGTTTCCTTTCTCCATTTTATTTTTTTCAAAACAACTATTTTCAATACTAATAATCATGAACGGTTATATTCAGCGTTTGAGTATACGTTTTTCATACTGCCTTCTTTTTCACAGTGCGTACTCGTCAATTCAGCGAATTTCTTCAAAATTTTCTCCTTTTTTTCCTTTTTTTACAAGTTTCCGTCGTGTTTCCGTTTGATCGGGCGACATTATAATCTGCACATGCTCGTTCGCGTTTCGATTCTCACTTAAACGTTTACGTTTAAAAAAGGAAAGAAAAACAGAAAAGAGTGTACAACATTAAGCGTTCAATCGACGTACAGACGTTCCAAATAAAAAAAAAAG